AGAAACCTACCTCGAACTGGAAAGTGTGATTAACTCAAACCTCTGCACTTCAGATCCTTTAGAAGCCAAAAGTAAGTCAGTGGCTTTGTCACAATATCTGAGGCAAGGATGTCACTCTTCAAGCTCAGAAAAAGCCAGAGTACTTCCAGTGAATACAGCCCAAAATCATATGCCCCCCCCCCTTTTTTTTTGGTAGTACTGGGGGTTGAACTCAGGGTCGTCACACTTGCTAGGCAGATGCTCTACTACTTGAGCCATGCGCCCAAGCCCCAAAAGACATTTTAAAAAGAAGGCCAAGACTGAACAATGCTAAATTCTATCTCTAACTTAGGTTCACTTCTCAGAAAACAAAATAATATAATTCCACATTTAAAAAAGGTGTAGTTGGGCTGGAGGTGTGGCTCAAGTGGTAGAGCACTTGCCTAGCAAGTGCAAAGCTCTAAGTTCAAACCCTAGCATCACCAAAATAAACAAACAAAAAACCCCAAAACAAAACAGGAGTGGTGGTAGGAGAAACTTTTTTGTTTGTTTGGTTTGTTGGACTGGGGTTTTGAAGTCAAGGCTTTGTGCTTGCAAAGTAGGCACTCTACTGCTTGAGCCACACCTCCAGTCCATTTTGCTTTGGTTATTTTGGAGATAAAATCTTGTGAACTATTTGCCTGGACTGGTCTCAAACCGTGATCCTCCCAATCTCAGTCTCCTGAGTAGCTAGGATTACAGGTGTGAACCAAGGGCGCCCCCAGGAGAAACTCTTTGTAAGACATTTCTAAACTTACTTTTATCCCAAACATTTTACACATTTATTGACTCTTACTAGAGGCTTTCTGGGAGAGTTAGGTATGCTTTCTTAGGCACTCTTAAAATGTCCTAGACAAGCTGGGTGCCAGTGGTTCCTGACTGTTATCCTAGCTACTCAGGAGGCAGAGATCAGGAGGATCGTGGTTCAAAGCCAGCCTGGGCAAATAGTTTGAAAGACCCCATGTCAAAAGAACCCATCACAAAAAAAGGGCTTGTGGACTGGCTCAAGATGTAGGCCCTGAGTTCAAACCCCAGTACTATTAAAAAAAATGCCCTGGACAGATCACTTGCTTCAGAATCACCTGGGGTGGTGATCCACCAGGATGGTGGTGAACTCTTATCTAGGATCTCTGTTTTACCCAGGGTCCCAACTATGTCATCTTTTTCCCTTTTTTTTTTTGGGAGGGGGTAACATTGGGGTTTGAACTCAGGGCTTCACACTTGCTAGGCATGCACTCTACCACTTGAGCCACTTTGCCAATCCTGTTTTTTTGGGTTGGACATTTTTGAGATAGGGTCTAACTATTTTCCCGGGCTGACTTTGAACCACAATCTTCCTAATCTCTATCTCTCGAGTAGCTAGGATTATAGACATGAGCCACTGCATCTGGCCCAACTGTTTCATTCTTATTCAGTACCAGAGTTGAAAAAAGAACTATGTAAGCCACGTGCAGTGGTGTGCGCCTTCAGTCCTAGCTACCTGGGACAACAAATCAAGACCACATCTTAGGCTGGAGGTGTGGCTCAAGCAGTAGAGCACCTGCCTAGCAAGTGTGAAGCCTTGAGTTTAAACCCTAGTACTACCAAAAACAAAACAACATAAAAAAATGCCCCATCTCAAAGCAAAAAACCCTATATGTACTGGGCATGGTGGTACACATCTATAATCCCAGCACATAGGAGGCTCAGGAGGATGTTCAATCCCAGGAGTTCAAGGCCAGCCAGGGTGTGTTAGTGAGCTTGAAGTCAGTTTGGGCTACATAGTGAGACCCGGTCTCAAAAAAAGAAAAAAAAAAGTATCCCAAGACAAGTGTCACGCCAAGTGTAACCCACCCTGTCCCTGGAGTTTCCCACAAATTCCTGACTCCGAAGGTGCTACCCAGCCCTCAAGTTCCCAGCTTCAGCCCTGCTCTCTGCCTTTCCTCCTCCTCCTCCTCCTCCTCCTCCTCCTCCTCCAGTGGCTGCCTCCACCTTGGTGAATGGCACCAACAGCCAGGTCACCCAAGCTGTAAACCTGGGTCTCATCCTTGATTTCTCCCTTTCTTTGAGCTCTTCCCACCCTCATATCCAACAATAGTACTTGTCAAGCTGTTTTGTAGTCACCTGTAAACTGTGTGGTTGCCCTTGTGAGAGCTGAGTACCAAGCAGGTCTCACAAAAGGGACCTACAACCTTCTGTCTCATTCTTCACTGCACTCCCAGCTTCTAGCACAGGTCCTGGCTCACAACAGGCACCAAACACATGTGCTGAAAAGAAGCTACCCATCTGCTGTGCCATTTCCTCTGCCCAAAAGCTCCCTCCTAGCACTCTCCTGGATCGGTTCTCATACAGGGACTGGCCTAGGGTGACAGGGAGGGTAGGAGTGAATAACTCACCGTCTTTCATACTCCATGTCCTGATAGGACCTACGGGGGCTGCTGGGGCCCCTCCTCAGCCGCTGGCTCCGTTTCACTTCCCAGCCACCCCTGCCGCTGCCACCATGATCTGCCAGCCTGGGTGATGCCTCCTGCAGGGACTCTGGGGAGAAGGAAGAAAAGGATTAAGAGAGAGCCTCTTTGAGAGACCCTCACTTTCAAGGCTCTCTGCTGTCCCTTAGCCCAGGGACATTGTTTTCCACCTCCTACTGCTCCTGTGATTCTGATTAGGAAGGCAGCCCCTACTTGGCCTGCCCCTTCCTTTTCCCACATGCACTAGGATAGAGCCTACTACCCTAGGAAGCAGCAAAGCCTTTATCAGACAGGGAGCATCTTGCAGAGAGAACTGGTAGCCAAGGTCAAGCCTGGAGCTGCTTGTGTGTGTGTGGGGGGCGGTTCCCAGTGTTGGATGATCTGCCTGAATTAGGCACATTAGCCATAGAGAGACTACCTCACAACAACTGGCCAGGGGTGTAGCTCAGTGGTACAGCACTTGTCTACCATGTGTAAGGCCCTGGGTTCCAACCCCAGCATGACAAAAACACCACAATAAAAAACTCAACAACAATGGGAGCCCCAGGCCCTCACCAGGCTTCTTCCACTGGCCCAAGGTACCATTTTATCCTCCCATCAAGATGCTGGCTGCCCTTCCCCCAGGGAGCCAGAGACCATGAAAGGCTCTTGAGGGTGTGTGTGAAGGGGCTAACTTGGCAACGAGACAGCTGCCACCTCCCTGGGCTCCTGGCCAAAACTGTTCTGGCCCTTACACAGCAACTGGCTCAGCCCTGATGTGCAGCCAGGTCCCAAGGTGGCTCTCTCCCCAGGGCTCTGAGGCTAAGTTTTCCAGAAGCAAAAGGAGCCCTTTTCCCAGGCTGTTCCAAAACACTGCTCTCTGCTGAGATGGAGAGGCAGTCACTTCAACTCTCAGGGCTGCCGTGAGAATTAAGGAAGTCCTGACAGCTATGTGACCCAGCCAGCGGTCATAACTATCCCAGAATCTTCAGGCCCCGCCCTCTGAATAGGAACCAGGTATAGCCAGGCGGTTAGAGCACCTGCCCAACACTGTGTTGCCACCACACCTTTCCTCCCTGCACACACACACACCCCAATTTTCTCTTCCTCTTCAAGCCAAGGGGAACCAAAGATATCTGCTCCCGGATGGGTAAAAGTTAGGAGCTCTAGGCTGAGAGCCAGGCACAAAACCCTCAACAGACTATGACAAGAGGTTCAGAGTCGCGCACTGTCATCCACACAACACGGATAGGAGCCAAAGTTACGGACGCCAGCCTCAAATACCTACGAGCCACACTCACAGAAAGAACTCACAATAAAGGGTCGAAATCAAACACTGAGCCGCCTTTCATCCATATGCATCAGTGTCACAGAAACGAATTCCCCAGAAGGGGCAAAAGTCACACACACATTCCCTGCACCACCACCTTCGTCGCACTCACCAAATGAGTTAGGGCCAGCAATAAGACAGCCCCCTTAATGGACAAGGACCAGAGCCTAGACAGAAACCCTAAAGATAAGGACCAGAGCACTCTCTCTCTCCGCATCCACCGTCCCCCGCCCCCACGAATCCGGACAAGAGCCACAGAACATTTCCCGGTGGATACCTAAGTATCAAAGTAACCCAGAGCGCCAGTACACTCCTACCCTAAGGACAAAAACCAAAGTCGCAAACACGCGCTTTCTCAAGGATAAAGTTCGGTGTAGCAAACACAGAAAGCTACCCTAACCCACTCCCACCCGTCCCTCCCTTCCCCCAACCCGCGTGCACCCATCCCATGTCCCAATCGCGCACGCGCTTACTGCTTTCACAAGGGGGTAAAAAAAAAAAGACACCCCCTCCCGGGTTCGGACCATGCATGCATCCCTCCACTCCGCACGAACCCCCGGCCCGCAGTCCGCCCTCGCGCCTCTCATATGCACCCCCCCCGCCCCGGCCCCTTACCTCCGCCCCCACGACCAGCGTCGGCGCTCACCTTCTCGGCCCGGGCTGTCAAGGGAGGGCTCCCAGGCATCACCTCGGCCCGCCGCCACCTCCTCCGAAACTCCCAGCTCAGCCGGGGCCGTGCGCACAACAATCAAGTCCGAGGGCAGAAAGGAGGAAGGAGGAAAGGGGGGAAGCGCCAAGCGCGCTGCCCTCCCAAGGACCTGCCCTCCCAGAGAAACTCAATGCCGCCTACTCCCAGCCGGCCGCAATCACCAGCACAAAATGGCGACGAGGAGAAGGGAGCCGGTGCTTCGACCACCATCCACCTACTAAGGGAGCGCGCTCTGGCCAGCCTCGTCTATTGGTCGCCTCCCGCCGAGGCCAGCCCTGGCCTCCTCTGATTGGCAACCATATGCCACCTCCCTACACCCCGTGAGAACGCCCCGCAAGTCCCAAAAAAGAGTAGCTATTGGCCAATTCTGCAAGGCCCGCTTTTTAGAAGCCTGCCTTCCTTTTGAAGTTGAAAGACAAGCGGAAGCTCCACCTCTTTCCCTAAAGGGAAATGACATCCCAGATGTCATTGCTTTCTTCCCATCAAGGAAATGAGTAGACCTATCAAGACGAACTTTCTCAGGCTGACCGGGAGGATAAGAGAATGGCTGGTCCCCTGGGGCCATGACAAGGGTGGAAAAGAAGGCTGCTCCGTACCCCGCCCCAATGGAAAATAAACTCGGACCCGGGATCTATTTCGTGAGGTGAAGGCGGAGCGACAATAATCGCGCTGGGGTCAACTGCAGCTGCGCACAGTCGCATTTCCGTCTCCGCCCCCGAGACCCTGCAGCAGTCTGTCATGGCGGCCGGGCTGTTAGGTTTGTGTGCTCGCCGTCTTTGGGCGGCTACGACGGCACGAGGACTCCCGGCCGCCCGCGTTCGATGGGAATCCGGCTCCTCCAGGGCTGTAGTCGCCCCTTCCGCTATGGCGGGAAAGCGGCAGCCAGAACCGACCATACGTTGGCAGGAGGACCCAGAACCCGAGGACGAAAATCTCTATAAGAAGGTGAGAGGGAGGGGGGACGGGACGCCGGAGGGGTCAATTGGCTACCAGCGGACGGGGCGTCGTAGAGGACGTTCTTAGTCTGTTGAGGATTGCGTAGCTGGCGAATCTTTTGCCTTGTTTGTTTTCTTGCTTTTGCGCCCTCATACTTTCGGTCCATGGCCAGAGGTGGGATCGGCGTAATTTACAGACAGAAATCAAAACTAAAGTGGGCAGCGCTCAAAACGCATTAGCAGCAATACAATCATGATAATACTTAGCATTGATATAAACTTCTTCGGTCCCAGTTTCTGTTCTAAACACTTAATATGTATTAACTCATCTAGCCCTCAAAACAACCCGATTTTGAGGTAAGCAGTATTATTATTACCAATACAGATGAAACGGAAACACAGATATTAAGTTGTTTGCTCAAGTTCACATAACTGAGTACGTGGGGGAACCAGTATTTGAACTTAGGGCTACCAGGTCTCCTGTGCTGTATTAATAGTAGAGACACGAGTCAGACGACCTGGGTTGCCTTGGGCAAGTAGCTTAACCTCTTGGTGCCTCAGTTTCTTTGTAAAATGGGAAGAGTAAATGGATGTCTAAAATACACCTGCCTCGTACATGATTCAGTGAATCAGAATGCTCATAACAGCAGCTGGCACTTTGAAAGTACTCAGCATTAGAAGATATTTATTATTGCCACCTTCTACCTCACTGGTAGATTGTGAGGTTTGTATGTTTGAAAAGGCCTGGCACTTTGTCAACATTAGCTTCTGGTTGTGGAGCTTGGATATATAGGATGGTATAGGACAAGTGGATGGACGTAGGGGGCTGTTTCATTAGGTCGAGGCATAGGAAGTTGCTAATATTCAATCACTGTTGACCTATATAAATAGTGATTTTCTATGGTCCCCCTTAATAGACAGATGACTAGGGAATTCCTCCTAAAAGAATTGGTGACGCCAATTTTTCATTTGGCCATGAAGCCAAAACCTTGAATGAGGAGGTGAAGACGGATCCAGCTGTGATTAGATCTGGGAGAAAGATTGTCTAGGCAGAAGGAACAGCAAGTGCAAAGGCCCTGAGGTGGGAAGGAACTTCATATGTCCTAAGACTAGGAAGAGGCATTTAGTGAGGGAGGAGAGATGGATCTATGGGGAGATTGGAAACCAGGTTGTGCAGGACCAGCATAGCACTTTGTGGAACAGCAGAAGACCTAACTGACCTCTCCTTCTCCACAGAATCCAGATGCTCATGGTTACGACGAGGACCCTGCTGTGGATGCCTGGAACATGCGGGTTGTCTTCTTCTTTGGCTTCTCCATCGTCCTGGTCTTTGGCACCACCTTTGTGGCTTATCTGCCTGACTATGGGTACAGGGGGTGTCTAAGAGGGTGGAGTGGGCAAGGGGTGGAGGCAGGGGTGGAGGTTGAAGGGGTCTCTGTCCATAATCCTGTCCCTGCACTGGAGGGGAGTAGGGTGCTGAGGTAGGGGACTGGTGTCCAGTGACACTCCCTGATGTCTGCCCCCACCACTGATGTCTCCAGGATGCGTGAGTGGGCCCGCCGTGAAGCTGAGAGGCTCGTGAAATACCGAGAGGCCAATGGCCTCCCCATCATGGAATCCAACTACTTTGACCCCAGCAAGGTCCAGCTGTCGGAGGATGAGGACTGAGCAATTGCAGAATGTTGCTCAAGAGGCACCCCCCCCAACACACCTCTGCCTGCTGTTGTGCCTGCTCCTCAGAGCACCTAATTAAAACACTTGGAAGTATGACTGGCTACTGTTGCTTTTGTTAGGAGGCTGATGTGGAGATAGGAGTGCTGCTTCAGCCGTGTGTGTGTGTGTGTGTAGATAGGAGTGCTGCTTCAGCCGTGTGTGTGTGTGTGTGTG